TGCTCCAAGACCTCCCTCCATGCAACACAGCTCGCTCCATGAGGACAGCGTGTTTTTGGTGGTGCAACAGGGATGGATGGCACAGATATCATGATGTCTGCTACTGCCCCATCTGCCTGCCCACCCCTTCAGAAAATCCACTGTTGCTCCTTCACTCCTCCTACATCATGCAGGGCACTGCAAAACGGAAAGAAACATTCCACTCGATTTATTTCATTATTTCATAAGCAGAGTTAAGCTTGCAATTTCCCATGGTCACGGCTGATCATTATTAGCAACAAAGCATCACTTCACATTAGACCCCAAATTTTACCGGCCCTGGAAGTGATGCATCCCAGTGGGAAGAGTTGTGAGCGATGGATGTGTGCACATGTGCATTCCCCATCCAAGCCATTGTTCTGCCATAAAATATAAGGAAAAAAACCCTTCTTCCCCCAGCACATGTACATACACACACTGAGCTCTCTACATAGGTCCCAGCCCATAAACACAAATCCCAGCACACACATGTCTGAGCGGGTGGGTTGATCTGATTTCCAAAGCACCATGTTATTCAGGAATTCAAGCTGTGGTCATCATAGCCCTGATGTCCATCACCTGAAGTGCAATTTACATTTGATCAATAACAAACCAGTTGTTTCAAAAGGAAAAGTAACTCTATGCTAGTGATGTTCTTTAAAACCCCAAAGTGGAACAAAGAGCTCACTAATATGGCACACAACTTCTCATGCACAAAAGAAACCAATTGCAACACAAACTGTGTCCAGATAACTGAGGTTAAATATGATTATCAAAAATAATAATAAGCAAAATACTGCTAATAGATCCACCCCCACTATACCCAGCACACCCCAGGGATGATCCCAGGGGATCCCAGCCTGTTCCCAGCTCAATCACTCATCCTCAGGGCACACAAGCAGCTGAGTAAGAGCCACCAGCACGAGCAGGGAAACTGAGACATGGAGAGCCAGGCTCTGGCCACAGCCTGGAAACTGAATCAGCATCCAGGACGTAGAGGATCACCTTCACACGTTGGCCTGTGCTCCACAAGAAGTCACAGACAACACGTGACGGAGACCAAGCAGCAGACAGCAACGGGAAAGCATCTCCTGTGATCCCAAGGAGGCTGGGGGCATGGGCAGCCCTGCAGGGAAGGCAGAGTGTCTGCTCTGACAAGGTCCAGTTATCTGCCAGGAGGTTGAAGCTTCAGCATGGACCTCTGCGTGTCACTTTGTGGGAAAGCAATGCCACAGTGACTTGATATAGAAAGGCACTAGGACAAATTTTATTGGAAGTAAAGAACAAAACCAGGAATCTTTATTTTTTTTTCCTGGTTTTAAAATAGGGCTATAGATCTCTTTTGCAGAAAGGAACATGCCATTTATTTCCACTCTTTCTAGGAATCTCAATTATTGTACGCTTATTAAAGGAAACCCATAAAATATGTCTTCCAGTGTCTTTAACACATGCTTTACAAGAAGCTCCTAAACTCTAACAAATGGCATTATTTCTCTCAGTAAGCACCTAAGGGAATGGGCCCATCCAGTACACGGTATGTCTGCATCTCCCTGGAAAGGCTCCACTTTTCTATGTGCCCCCTGTACACTCCATCACTCTGGATGTCCTGAATTTTATGTGTTGCATTTTACAGCAAGAGACAACTTATCCAAATACAGACATCCTAGCCCAATTTGCTGCTTAACAGAGAGCACAATCCCACCCAAATGCACGCCAAAGGAGATACTGTCCCTCTGGGGGATGCGGGGCATGGGCCTAAGCAACACCCTGCTTTAAAAGTAAGGAAAGGTTCACCCAACAGGCTGAGCGATCTCTACTGCACAAACACACATCTTACAGGGCCAGGTGTTAATCGGGAATATACCAGCACGTATCCCAAAAAATTTTACTGAATTCCTCACATTTCCTCCACTGGTGAAAACAGGCCAAGACTTCCTTCCCATGTTGCAGAGGACTAAATAAGCACCTTCCAAACACTCCTTGTGGTGTAAATGCCTGACTTTGAACCTTGTTTTGTTGCAAAGTATTTCAAGCATAAACCTGTTTTTCAGGAAAATTAAAACTCAGTGATTGAATCATTTTGTTTTAATGGAAGTTTCTTAGAAAATTACCATTTAAGCTACGGGGTAAAACAAATATTTTAATGAGCTATTAAGAAAAGGCTTCTGCGCAGCGGAGCAGAAGACCACGCAGAGCAATCATAGCAATTCAGCTTCCATGTAACACAACCCCTTTCAGCAATCTGAAAAATACAACGAAACAGATGAGCTCTGCGAATCTGAAATGCACCCATTAGACATGGGAAGGTGTTGCTGATCTAAGAAAATTTTACAATTTTTGCTCGCAGTTGTAGAAAAGCCTAATTACATTTTTACCTTGAAGCTACAGCCACCTACCTGCAACAGATTCTCCATCAGGAGCAAAAGTAGGTAGCTTTTACAAAGGCTTATATATAACAATTACGCAAGGAATTCACCAAACTTCTCAGAGACAACAAATCCCCCCAAGTACACCCTTATATAGAAACTCCAAAAATATAAATGCAAATGTTAATGCAAAACAGGATCACCATTATATCTGCTAAGTGCGATCTTTTGAGTCCCTCACAGTGGAAGTTTTCCTTTTCTGATGGTCAACATCAAAGACTAACAGGATCCCCTAAAAAGCTCTACCACTTGCTCTTTTGGCCACCAGGAAACACACCCATACGTGTGTATGCACACACCAAATAAACTCGCTGTCTAAATGGAGCAAAGTTTCCATGGTGCAGTATCTGCATGTGATAGGAATATGATACAGAGCCAACAGACATATTTAGTGTACACCATCCTGGTAGTTACAGAAGAATTTTAATGTCAATGAAATAGCAGGGATGTTGCATCTGCTCAGCTCTACCGCGCAGCAAAGCATCTTCAAGAAATTTAACAACGTGGGTAACAAGAACAACACGACAAAACACCTCCCACTTCTGCCCAAGTTTTCCAAGCTGCCTGCAAAGTTTTTATTCTGCTTCCTTTCCCTTGCAGGTCCCCTGCCACGGCACTGGCAGAGGCACAGGGAGCCGGTGTCACCCTGGCTGCCTCTCGCACGCGCCCGAGCAAAGCCCCGTCTGCTCCCAGGAAGGAGCGGACCCACGTTCGGCACACGCTGTTGGCAAAGGCAAGGCACGGCGGTGGATGTGGACCCTTCTGTCTGCCCACAGCTGCGCTCCATGTGGTCTAATTCATTTAACAGATTTACTTCTTTAAATGGGGTATCTGACAGGATTTTGCCACCAAGATCCATAGCAGCTGATGTGCTCTAAATTCATTTAGGTAGCGGACCCGCTCCTCCGCCGCTATCTCCCAGAGTACTCTTTCAAGCAAGCTTCATTTTCACAGCCAGGTTATATTGATAAGGGAAAGAGCATCAACAAAGATGTCTCTAAGCCTTGCCATCTCACCTGCCTCCCCCGTGGATAATTACATTACCAGCTTAACACACATCCACATCCACATGCGCTCCCACCTACAGCCACTTCCCCCACGGACCCAAAAGGAGGGAGAGGAGATGCTGAACAATGAAAGGAGCTTACAGCACAAAAAGTAGCACGGTCGGGGGTGGATCAGAAGGAGAGGGGGGAGAGAGATAAGAGATCACATTGGTACTGCAAGAAATACACAGCTCCTGCCTTCAGTGGGAATCGTCCTACCCTCGCAAATGCCGGCATAAAAGACACACTTGCAGCGTATTTCAAAACCAAAGAGCGATGGATTTACAAGGCAGGTTGATTTTATGATGACTTTTATTGAAAAGGTACGCTGGGTTTAGGCAGATGCCTTTTAGCGCCGGTAAGTTAGCACAGTGCCTAATTCAAGGAGACAGCCTGAGGAAGCAGCGCCGACAGGGGAGAGAGAGCCACAATGTCTCTATTACTCTCCTCGGTATCATAAAGGGGAGAAGAAAAATCACGTCTGAGAGGGAGAGGAAGGAATGGTGCAGCAGGTTTTGGTTTTAAAAGAAAAGTAATAATAATAACAACGACAATATTAAAATGGTTTTCTAAGAAGAAAACTTAACAGAACAAAGGAGCCCATGTGAAAAGCAAACCACTCACTCCTTGATCTACATCTCTGGGTTTACAGGAAAACTCTAATCATAAGTCAGTGCTCTTCCTTGGGCTACCACGCTCTGCTGCCCCCAGACCACTCCCCATCATGGGTCACCTCCCAGCTCTGCAAACCTGGAAGCCTGCCCTTCACGAAGGACAGCTCTGCCTCTCCGTGTAGGCAACACCACAAGAGACAAGGTGATGGGAGAGCATGGAGTTACAGTCATGAACAAGTGGACTGGGTTCCTTCAGTCCGATCACCGGCCTGCAAAACGGCACATCACCTCTCAACGGGCACCAGATGGGGGAAACACTCAGAGAAAGCACATGATGCAACAGCTTATTGAATTGTAGGAACAATTTGTATTTATGCCTTAAAGAGGGAGCTCGGTGGCCAGAAATATTGTTAAGTTAACCAGAGGAAAAGGTATTTTTGTCCTAACCGGAGGCACAAATCCCGATGGTGAATCATACAAGAATGGTGTGCATGAAGAAAAGGTCAGAAAGAAACACCTGGAGAAGCAGGGGGCACGTACTTGCTGCAAGCTTTGGGAAAGTTTCTGGCTATGCACTCCAGCTGCATCTCTGTTTATACACATACGTGTACCAGTACCCATAGCCTCGCACTGGGGCATGGAGAGATTTCTGCAGGGTCAATATCACCTCTCCAACATGTGCTGGAAGGCAAGTTTCCTTCACGAGCACCTCACCTTAAAATCTGTCAACCCTTTTAGAAGAACAAGGCAATATTGCATGGCTGAGCTTGGCAGGCAGGAAAGGCTGCTTTGCCTCCACCTCCAGCAAGTATCACAGCACCGTGGGACAATCACCTGTTGAGTATCTCAGTGAGGCACAATTAAAGAACCACCAACAAGTCAACAGAGGTACTTACATCTGTCACTTCGGTCTTCGGGACTGGATGAAGTCTCACGGTCAGAAATGAGGCCAGAAACTGCAAAGATCTTCTTCCCCGTATCATCAACTTTGAGGGAGCCGGGGGAGCTGGAAGGGAGCTGTGTGCCAAACTCGTACTCCTTCCCATCAGTGTCCGAGAAGCGCAGATGGGGTGAGTCAGTGTCGTGGCAGTTCTTGAGGCGCTTGGCTGGCGTAAAGGCTGACTGGTAGCTCTCCCGGTCCTCAGTGGATGCAAAGGGGCGGAAAGCCCCGACGCCGCTGTGGTTCAACATACTGATCGGGGTGCAGTCCAGGTTGGGGGGTGCAAACTGGGGGTGGAGGTGAAGCAAGGATGGAGGAAAGTCACGGTTCGCAAACGCTCCCGGCACCCCGCCTTGACGGTGGTACATGGAGGCAAAAGTATATGAGCCATTGGTAAAGGGAATATGCACGTCCTTATCTGCTGACACGGGGACTCCAAAAGGCCTCGGCTGCTGGCAGGGAATGGAAGCGTCACGGCTGGCTTCAGCGGTGGAGGCAAGAACCATCAGTGCTGGGGAGGCCAGCGGGTTGGGGAGATAGGGTGAGTTCTCCATCTTGAACGCTGCCCGGTGTAAGTCCATCGGAGTCTCTTTCCTCAGCAGGATCACGAGCAGAACGATCTTCCCCCGAAGGAAAGCAAAGCGATGCCTGGGAATGGAGCGGGGGAAACTACTGGAGCATCGTCACCCTTCGAACACTGCAAGGAAACAGAAAAGGAAAGAAAACACGGCCGGTTAGGTTACTGCACTCATCTCTCTGGGACGCTCCAGCAGCAGGGTGGCCACATGTGTTACGAGCCACCGGCCGGAGACGCGCCACTGTTCTCATTCAAGAAAATCAATAGACAACTTCACACACTGGTGGAATCAGCCCTGGCCCTCCAGGTTAAGGGGTATCATCCAGCGCAGATGAATGAAAGGCAAACCAAACATAATAACATGCAGATTTAATAATGCACTAATAAAAAAGGTTCAGTATAAAATTAACATAGTAACTCCAAATTATAATTGGAATTTTATATGGCAAGTGGCATGTACATATAACCGCAATAAACTTAAGAAAGCCCCCACATACACACACCACTATTTGCTTGGGGAGGGGGTGTAAAACCAACATAAAAATATCCTTTGTACATAGTTAACCCAAATCAGCCAGCATACATGGTTATACTGTACACGATGCCTGAGACTTATATAACAGACATGTACTTTTTCTCACTCTCACAGTACACATGGGTAGGTAAGTACTCACACACACAGTACCCAATACCATCATACATATATGTACACACATCATTGGAATGCAGGAATGTGACCGTGCCTTGGTGCGTGTGTGTAATACACAAACACACACGCGTGCACACGCGGTCCCTGGCAGCCAAAGGAGAAGAGACTTCCCCAGTAAAATGCCTGGCGTCTCTGGCAATATTTAAAATCATAATGGGTGCTTCTGCCATCTGATCTCTGCAAGTGTCTGCCTTTCGGGTCGGGGACAAGAGAGGATGGATCAGTAATTTTAGTTCCTAATGCACTCACTCTTAAGTAGATTTGTAAACTGCCCTGGATGTGCCATTAACATTTAGAGGAAAATGTTAACAAAATTTCTGCCTTGCATCTTGCTGAGCCTCCCAGGTTGGTGGCAGCCACCCACCCAGCCACAGCCCCCTCCCAAGGTGAAAGAAGGGAAAATGTTCCTTTCTGCATCTCCCCCAGTTCGCAGTGGCTTTTTGTGTTGTTATTTTCTCCCCCAATCAATCTCGTGTCTTTTCTTTTAAGCTTCCGCCGCCTGCCATTCAGGCCCCACAACCCAGCTTAAAATACAAGGACTATAACTTTGAAACAATATACTAGCCGCCGGAGCTCAAAGGGCCAGAAAAATCATATAATAATAAAAAGCTGTTACAAATTGTGCCTCTTAAATCCAGAGGGTCAAACATCTCAAATAAAACTTAGTGAAAGAGTGTCTCCCTAATGGAGTGCCTTTTGTACTCCATGAATGAGGGAGCCTAGGTTAACAAAGTGTATGAAATCCAGTCTGGGGCTTTAATGCAGTTCAGTGATAGCATTTCCTCTCTCCCATCCTGTACCCAGCCGCTCCACTGACTGTTATGAATTGTGAAGATGAGTGGACATCATCTCTCTGCTTCCTCATTTGGCACCCATCCTTACAGACATCATTGCTAAATTACCAGATTATGTATCTCGCATTAACGGATCTGCTCTCTTCCAAATTTTAAATAACTTTCTCATTGAGTTCTTGCCACAGAGAGTGAGGGGGAGAGGAAGAGCGAGGGGTGCCAAGGGCATCCTGGTCAGCACTGCAGTCCTGGGTACACTTGCTCTGCTGCTTCACACGAGGCTGATCAAAACCTGGAGGTCAGGAAACTGCAGCCACTGGCTGGGGGCTCATGTAACCATGTAAATATAGATATACACGCACACATAATTATACATCTAAAGAAATGCATACAAATAAGCCACTGTCCTCAGAAATAAACAATCATTAACATGGAAGTGAAACTGAGCAATCACGGAAAAACGTGGATTTCCAGGGAAAAAAAAAAAGCAACCACCTCTGCCTGCTTTTCTATTTTTACTTGTGCTTTCACCCCATTACGTTAAATGTATTTCATAAATTAGTAATCTGGCCGCAACACTTGACACTCCTGTAGGATACTGTGAATCACTATGGCCGTTTATTCGTTTGCAAACTTCATTACGCCAGGAATAAATCAACACATTACAATATCTCAGCCAGCCAAATTTAATTTTTTTTCAGCTCCCACTTCCTTTTTCGTTCTCTCTTGCTCCTTGCTCGCCCAACACCTCCCCGCCCCCCAGCAACACGGACAGATTAGGCTGCGGCGGACCAGTCATTATGAAAATCTATCGTTAATACACTCCCAATGTCAAAATGTCATAGGTTTAAACACAGAACCCAAAAATAAGAAAACTAACTGACCTTCTTAATTAAAAAAATATGGATTGCAGGGTAATCAGCTGGAGGGAACATTTGGGTGCTGGGAAGGCAGTGGGCACAGGTGGAGTGAGGAGCTGCTACTTTTCTGCCTCTATGCTGATTTTTTTTAATTTAGCACCTCGCGCAAATCCAGATTAAAATAACTCCAGCTATTGATCCGAGCAGTGGAATTGACATTAATTTTAGTTCACTTCTCACTTTGCAAAGGGATCAATAGGAAGTAATAACAGCTGACATCCCCGCTGAAAGGAGGAGAAAAGACGGGCTAGAGACAGAAATCGAAAAGCAACCAAATAAATCAGCAGCTACTTTTCCACGGCATCAGACAAACTCCAAACAGATTGCAAAAAGTCTTTGTTGAATTAACTAAACAAGGAGTAGAGGGAGGAGGGGTGGAGATCAATCTAGGAAGCTACATAAACTGTCTACCAAGTATGAAGGTTAGACAGACACACTGAAAACTAACTCTGATTTTTTTTTTCATGGCTACCTATATGCATAGTAATTGGTTTTCAGAGCTACCCTGTTTAAGATGTACAAGATGAGTAATCATGTATGTTACCAATAACAAGGCTAAACGTGCCACAACCAAGGCAAATTGAATCAAGAGCCTTTAGCTCTGAACCACAAAAAAAATCCCTCACCAAGGAACAAGTTGTAATCAGTCCTCTCTGGCTCAGTTTTGATTCCTCTGCTTACAGAGGTTGTAGAACTGTGCTGCATAAGTTAAGAGGGAAGTCTGATAAAAGTAGGAGAAGCCATGACAGAACTGGATTTAGCAGGCACCACAAACACCCAGCAAGAGGAGAAAACAGCAGTGACTGCTGGTTAGAAGCGTAAACCCCACTTGCTAATCAGCCTGCAAAGAAACGCGCTCATATGCAAGCACATGCACACCCCATAACACAGCCACGAGATCTGCAAATCTTCTACTAAAATGTTACTCGGAGTTCCTATTACTAAATCACCTCTCTGCTATCGATTAAAATAAATAAAACACACCACTCTGGCTTCTACAACAGGTTGCATTTTTGTGGTCTCTCAACCATTTCCAAATGCCAGAGATTAAAATAATGGGGCAAATTAATGTCTTTCTCCCTCCAGAAAAAAGTTTTCTTGGAGAAAAAATTAATTAGCAGGATACAGGGGAGGAAAAAAGATTAAAACATTAGGAAATCCAGGAAAATTGGTGATGCATGTAAATTAGGAAATGCCCAAGAAAAAAAAAAATCACAATATCCATTTACATTAAAAAGTTTTCCCCCATAAATGTCAAGTAGGAATTCAGAAATATGCTCTGCGCAGAAAAGCCAAAGATTATAAAACAAAATAATGCCAGCTGTTTGGGGATTTAGGTGCTCAAATGGATTATATATTTGAACCAAACTGGATTTCCTTATAATAAATAAAACAAATGCAAGCTCGAAAGCCAACAAAGGAGAGCTCTCATCACTGGATTAAGATACAAAGGAAAAACAGTTAATTTTTTTTTTTTTCCAACGCG